AGTGTATGGGTTGGAAGCACTCGAGGTGGGATGTGGGTGAGAGTGCTTAGGTCCCTCGATCTGACAGGATGTAAAAGTACATATGGTTTGAGGGTGCGGGTGTTGTCAGTGCGTCAGCTGGTTCATCTTCCTTTCCAGATCACCCATTTATCTTCTTTGCTTCCTCCTTCAGCGTGATTAATGCTTGGGAACGTCTCTCACCTTGACATTTCCTCCTTGGTAGCTAATTTACATTTCCCCACTGATGAAAAGTCTAAGTCATGCTTGGTATAGAGTTGCCGTCACAAAATCACAAAGCAACACATATCTCTCTTGCCTTCCCGGTCGAAAGCCAACAGCTAAACGTCGACTTTCCGCGACGTGAGAACTAACTGCCGCTAAAAGTTCTTGTTTAATTTGTTTTGCGCTTTTTTCTTCAATACCGGAAGGCCTAGGCTGCTCCCGGTTGCCAATGTGAATGGTTGAGGAAAACGAGTCGGATTTTATGAAGTGATAAACGAGTGATAGGCAGTTCGGGATTACGCGAGATGACTCAGCATTTATAGTAACGAAACTTTTTTTTCCCGTAACACCTGTTTATGAATTAGTTATGGATATCGCCAAATCACTGTCCCATGAAATATGTTTTCAGCAGTTACCTTATCTTAACAAGAATGATTCTCCATTAACGTTTTCTCATTATTTCCTCATATACAATCCTCCTTCCTCCTCACACACTGCTCAGAACTTTCGGAGACATTCGACCGGTGTATTAAAATTGTGCGAGTCCCGACCCAATAAATACTCATTACCGAAATAAATACATATCTATCAATCTAGACATGCAAATTTTCTACCTGATAGATAGGTAAGTGTAAATCCATCAGATAGATATGCATTTATTTCTATGAATATGCATGTCCGTATATTTGAATATTTATTGGGTCTAGCCTCCCGCAATTTAATGAAATGGCCGGTTATCTGCATCTAGCTCAGTAATCTAAGGTTCTCACCGTACTTTTCAAATGCTGTGTTCTAGACTTAGCGAAAATATTCCGTTAAGATGTAGTTATATCCCACAGAAATCGCCATACATGCAGTATTTTAATCTCAGTAGATTTTCATATTTATTTATCTAATTGTTTAGTGCATGTGTCTGTCTGTATTTTCTGAAGTGATGGACAGTTGAAAATAACATATATGAGGGTATGCGTGTTCAAAGATGTTCTTAGATCATTTGCCTAAATTATTATTATTATTATTTTATTATTAGTATCATTTTTTTTTTTTTTTTTTGAGCTTTTATCTACAACATAATCATCAATATGCTCATGTTAAATGGTTTACAGTTGCAAGACAGAGTGCAGGAACACGAATATACCTATATACATATTAAAATGCGTTTAATAAACTCATTGTGAGCAATTAATCTGAGAACAGACGATGATTAATGACAGGAAACAGATAACCAAGAGGAGGTTATATGCATTTGCAATCATACCTTTACGAAAAAGTCCTGACAGCGTCACTGTCTTGGGAAACCAATACCAAGAACCATGAATACTTTTAAATGCCAAAATACCTCTCGAATGACTTTCAGAATTTATGATAAAGATCCCTTGGTATGGAGGCGACTCATTTGCTTTGTCTCGATCGCCACATTATCCCGACATGTCTATGCTCCTCAGGCCGAAGACGGAGCCAAGCCGGACACGCCCGTCATCTGCGGCCTGTCCTACCTCGTGCCCTTCGATCTTGCCAACCTAGGTGAGTCCTTTTTTCCCTTTTAGTGTACCGTGGTGACCTTTTCACGTTATGCTGTTATTGTTATTTTAGAAATAATCATCATCAGTTCCATTAGCCATATTATTATCACTATATTTATTGCTGTTATGAATACGATTACTACTAATAATAATCATCATCATAATAATGATGATGATAAAAATTAAGATAATATTATCATTAATATTTACAACAATACTACTACTAAATAATAATGCTGATCATTATCATCGTCATTACCATCATTGCCGTCATCGTCATTATTATATCAGTATCATTATTGTCAATATGAACAGCAATTCAATTCTTCATTAAAATAAGGGGTAAGTATTTGCATTATAAAGAATTATTTAGTTTTCTTAAGAATCGTTACATTTGCGTCTCTTCCAAATCCTTGATGCAACATGCACTGTTTTACCCTAATTTACCTTTAGTAGGATCGCAAACATACCTCATTATCATCTTGTTGCCAGTCACAGAATGCAAATTGTTGACTAAAGAAACTGCGCAACAAGGGCATCGTATAGTATACCTCCTGACCCCTTGCACGTTGTTGTCTTTGGGGGGTGGGGGAGGGGGATGTGGGAGACAAAGATTGGGTTCAGTGTAGGAGATCGCCTCTACTTTAGACCTCATTCCTCCCCTCATCTAGATTTGCATGGTCTTTTTCTCTTAACCTTTCCCTTCTCTTCTTCTCTCCCTAACCTTTCCCTTCTCTTCTTCTCTCCCTAACCTTTCCCTTCTCTTCTTCTGTCCACGTCCTATGGTGTGAGAGCCGTGCTGGAAGAATGAAAGACTGGCTTTGTGTCAGTCTTTAACAGCCTCCGAGAGCCATGGGTACAGTATTCCCTTGGTTAATCGCTCAGCCTTAACCCTTTTAGAGACCCTGAGAAGCAGACTGTTTCTTTTATCCTCATATTTCAGGCTCGCCATGACCAATGATGAATATTCGAAAAAAGAAACTTTTTTGATAGTCGTGATGCAAAGGAAACCAGATTCATCATCATCATAATCAATCAATCTCTCTCTCTCTCTCTCTCTCCTCTCTCTCTCTCTCTCTCTCTCTTCTCTCTCTCTCTCTCTCTCTCTCTCTCTCTCTCTCTCTCTCTCTCTCTCTCTCTCTCTCTCTCTCTCTCTCTCTCTCTCTCTCTCTCTCTCTCTCTCTCTCTCTCTCTCTCTCTCTCTCTCTCTATCTATATATATATATATATATATATATATATATATATTATATATATATATATATATATACTTTCTTGGGGGGTGTGTGTATGTGTGTTTGTTTAAGTGTGTGTGTTTAGTGCATGGTATTTTAGTGTATATTTTTTGTTTGAGAGTGAGAGTGAGTTGAGTGAGAGTGAGTGAGTGAGTGAGTGAGTGAGTGAGTGGAGTGAGTGAGTGAGTGAGTGACTGTGTGTGTGTGAGTGAGTGTGTGTGTGAGTGAGTGGTGTGTGTGTGGTGTGTGTGTGTGTGTGTGTGTGTGTGTGGTGTGTGTGTGTGTTGTGTGTGTGTGTGTGTGTGTGTGTGTGTGTGTGTGTGTGTGTGTGTGTGTGTGTGGTGTGTGTGAGTGTGTGTGTGTGTGTGTGTGTTGTGTGTTTTTTGAGGGAGGACAAGATAATGTCAAAATTCAGTGTCGTCCATATTTTATTTTGTGACAGACAAAAACATTGTAGGATGTTCTTATGTATATTAGAAATGTTAACAGAGGCATATTTTTACTTTATTAGCATACTGATTTGCAGATTGAGGCATGAGAATGCATACTACATGCAAATGTGTGCATGAAGTCTGACTAAGACTTCATATATATTTTCCTGTTTGTTTGATCAGTTACCATCTGCTGATATAAAGTTGAAAAATCAGGTAGTCTTCAGATTGCCAAGATTATTAAGAACATTTCATTTATTATATATATTAGTAGTATTGGAACCCTTTCACCCTTTACAGGCAGGGAGACACAAGTTGTAGACATATGGGAGAGCTTCTCATTCTTCCTTGTAAGTGTGGTGATAACCTGGACGGCCTTAGTGCTTCCAGTTGCCCTCTTGACACAGGGTTTCATAGGAGCCCCTGATCATACTATAAATAAAAGAAAAAAGTAAGTGCTGGTAGTGAAGAAAGATTGTGCATGGCTTTAATACTGAAGACCTACATTTTAGCTACAGGAGTATAATCCCATGTATAATTTTTGGAATATGGGTAAAACTAGAGTAGAAATACTTATCTTTTGTCTATTTGTGAAGCACTTTTTAAGCTCATGGGAAGGGAAACCTTCTGCCATGAAGGAAACAAAGTTAAGGTAAAAAGTAATAGTAATAAAAAGGGTGCTTTCAGTTCTCAAGTAGCTATTCATAAAAAGATGCTTTCAAAATAACTTTTAAAAATGTTAATGTGATGATAGATATGACACCCAGTCCTATTAATATTCAGATAATTACATTGCAACTTGAAATATGAGTTGTAGTTTTATTCCAAATGACTCTTGGTAGCACGGTGCATTTTAAAATAGGTCAGTTTCGTAAAATTAATCATCCATGAATTCTGCCTCCATTTTACTGAGCCATATCACAAGTAAAATTTTGGTCTAACACATATATTAAAATGATAATTGGAATATAGATTACACAAAAGATTCTTGACTTTACAAGACAAAGCATTATCTTTTCCAAAAACAAAAGGTAATAATAAAATCTACCTAATTTATAATAAGTAGAATAATGTTAGAAGCCTTTTACTTTGGCAAGTAGTGTATTTGTTGTATCAGAATTATCAGACATCTTTATTGATTTGTGACCATAAAAAACAAATTATTACACTATGTCCCATAGGCGAAGTTTACACATGCGGGAGATCTTACAGCTGGGAATGGCAGAAAGTTGGGAGTGGGAAAAAGCTCTTCGTCAAATCTCCCTTGATGATCTCCTAATGCTCCTTGAACTACCAGAGTATGAGTGCCGAAGTAGAGCCTTTTGTGAATTTCACAAATTTCTCACTTTGCTACCCCCTTCTGTAATGACACTGTACAACATGATAAGGTTAGTGTTGGTTTAGGTCAACTCTTCAAAAATATTTATATGTGTAGAAGTACTTTAGTGTGTCGGTTCCATGGTAATATGTAATAGGTTGTTGGACATGACTTTTGATGAAAAGGCATACAGTTTAGGAATCTTAGATCAAGAATTGAAAATAATTTAGTGTTTTGAAAACCTTCTACACATATAATTTTTAAAGATGTCTGGGATAGAAAGGATATTAGAATTAACAGCATATTACATGGACTTTGAAAGATGGAATGATGCAGTGATGCATTTATATAGATAAATAACAACCCTCCCTGACCAGGACTTGAATTTCTGAATCAATTCCACCGAGCACTCCCAGGGAATATATGTAAAACCTAGCTATCATTACTCTAGGATGAGTAGATAGGCAATATCTATAAAGCAAGTAAGTTCCTAATTGCACACTCCTTTTGTTGGGTTGTGTGGTACGGTTGGTTTACTACTGGTTATTCTGGGTCATACCTGGAGTGACAGAGATTCAAGTCCTGGTCAGGGAGGATTGTTATTTATAAGGACTTTGTAAACCATATCATTTGTTTTAAATGCATTTCCTGCTCTAATCCTCACAGCCCCCATATAAGTGGCATGAAAAAGTACCGCAAGAGTATCATGACTGGATTGGGAAGAGGAGACTGTAGTTGGATACACAAGGGATGCCCACTTGCACCTCTCGAGTTCATAAACAGAATAAAAACTCTCAAGAAAAAATAATGCTAGTCAAGCACCTGTTCAAAAAGAATAAATTAATAAATTGTATTGCATTTTGCTAGGGCATTATCTGCACATGTTCATAACTACATGATTACACAAGCTTAATTATTTAGCAAAATATATGTATTCACGAAAGTTTTAAACATATTTAATTTTTAATACATTTTAAAGTCAGTTACATTGTCAATTTTTTATAAGTAAAAGAAATTAACCATGTAATAGTATGGCATTTTAATATTTCATAAAAAATACATATACAGGTAGGTCAAGATGAAGGTATAGGATTGATATGTTTTTGAGGTGACACATTTTGTAAAAGACTGTATCAGTCTTCATGGAACATACATATTAACACTACAAATAATGTTTGAAAAATAAATGATTTTCTTTTAAATGACTGTCTATGTAGAAAGAAACATTACACAAGGTAATTAAATGGCCCAAAAAATTATGAACATGAAATCTGCATAAGAAACAAGTATAAAGAAGTGTTATTAACCCAACTAAGAAAGAGTGAGAAGAAAGTTTGACACAAACTGGAGGTAAGTAAAGTTAAGAATTGTTTTGTTTCAGGTTAATCTGATTTTCTTAAGACAATATTCTAATGTAAATGTAATGTAATGCTTCTTTTTAATGTAATTCAAATTATCAACATTGAATGATTGCTAGATCAATTACACATCATAGTACTAAACAAACACTTAATCTAACATATTTCAATTCACACAAGACAAGGAGTCATACTTTTGGATTGTATTGAAAATAAAGTCAAAGTTAAAAACATTACTGTCACCTCCTGGCAGCCTGTGAGGAAAAACATTCACTGACAAAATTAAAATCAAAAGCTCTTGACATAACATCTGCTGGTTACTCATTGATATTATATTTCCAAAATTTTATATCCAAAATATTTAATATTATCTTAGTGACTCAGTAATATCCTTGGTTTAGTACTTCAGTAAGTATTCACTCTCAGTCCTAACAAAAGAGATTCAGATTGTGTTATAGGCAAGCATGTAGTAAACAATTTTTTTTTTTTTTTTCATTTTAAGGCCATGTGCACAGATTTACAGGTGGTGTTTATCTTCTCTTTTAATGTACAATATGCTGAGTTTTTTTATTGTTTTCTTTTGTTTGTTTTTTTATTTATAAGAATTCTAAAAAAGCAGTTTCCATTAAATGTATTACATCACCAACAGGATTATAGATTCTCATACTGAAAGTACTGATAGTAACATGAGCAGATCTTACATATTTCTTTTCTGTAGTACAACTCATATCTTGATATACATCAGTACCCTATATATTAATACTGAACTTGTACCTGATCTTGGTATGCATAAAAAACATAGACAACTATCTATTTTTATTATGAAACCTAGAAATATAAATCCATTTATATACATATAACATGAGAAAGTAAACAAAACAGGTAAGCAGGTGGTCTCACTTGCATTATATGATTTTATTTTTCTATTGCAATGAATACTTCAATTAATAATATTTTTTTATTGAGTACATAAATATCACATAGGCATATCTGACATTGGCAGATTTTTCGACCAAGCAAGGAAAGGAGAGTAAAAAATAAACCCTCCTGAAACAAGATCTCATTATTCCTAAAAGCAAAAGGCTTTATATAGATTCACTGAAATACAAATAAAAAGTTTGTAGTGAAGGATGTTTTTGCTTTATCCTCTGTTAGAAAAGAGTAATAAAACATGTAAGTAATTACATTAGACTAATTACAGAAATTCAGCCTGAACTAGATAGAGCTAGATATAGAAAAAGATCTAACAAAGGAAACAGCTAGTCTAAAACAAAAAAGAATGAGGGAAAAATAACAATCAAGAAGGAATTAAGGGGCTTTGAGAGAGGCTAGAGGATTACAGTTCAGAGAGGCCAACAAAAAGTGAGAATTCGAGAGGTTCCTTGCTGCGTTTGTGAGTGCTGCATGGGCACTGAGAGTTGAATTCTGAGCAGCTGGCAGGGAGGCAATCAAACGTGATATTCGAGTGGTTTCTGTGGTCAGAGGTCCACATATTGCTTTGGCAATGTTCTTTTCCATCGACGCGTTTGCTTCCCCTGAAATACCAGGAGTTTAAAGTTTGTGATAATGTTTAAGATTATATACTTATTTTCGGGCAATCCTGTGAAAGGCAAAGAAATCGCATTACTATTGTATTATTGTAGTAGTTTGTTTACCAATATCCTTAACCTATTGGATCTGGGTGCTTATAACAATAATAAACAATAAGCATCATTTTGTTAATTTTGTCATTTTTTAATAATCTTGCACAATAAAATTTTCTGAAAAACACCCTGTACTGCTTGCCACAGTAGGCAATAGGACCATGAGGCTTTTGGCAAAATTTTTCATGATAGGAATTTCCTGTCATCCCAGCCCATAACCACTTTTTTTTTTCATGAGAAGACAGTCAACATCACCCAGATCCAGTGGATTACAGAATTTAGTTATTTCTATATACAGATTTTCCATTTATTTACTGTCCTTTTATCAACAAAATGGTTATTCATTTATTTACTCAAACCATAATATTCATATAATGCCTTTGTAAGGGTTAAGGGGGGGGAGGAAGATGCCCCCCCCCTTCCCATTCTGGCAATATATCTTGCAATATCAGTACATTAGAAGAGGAAGTTGGCATTTGGCTATGTGTTATCAGTCCCTGAAGTTCACCCTTTGGAAAAAAAATGCCATTTAAGTATATGTTTTTAAACTAATCCTAATTTATGTATAACAAAGCAATTATAGTAATTATAAATATAATTACCATCTACAGTTACCTATAAGGAAACATGGCATGCTACCCTCCCCCATCATTAAATAAGCTTGATGATTATCATTAAGCTCATTTTGACACCTATCATCAGAACCAAACCTCTTCTGTGCATAGTTTTGACACAAACAATTCACCATAGACTTTAAACAATAAACAAATCAAACCACAGGTGTAAAATTCAGTCATGCAAGGAGTAAGAGTGGTTTACCAAGTATAAAATCTAAATTTGGTAATTGCTTTCAAAAAGTAAATATTGATAATCTCAATCCTGATAAATTATGCGCAGGATGCTAATAGGCACATATCACACATGTCTGTGGTTGGTTGCTGGGGGTGGGGGAAAAGGAATAGGGTGTAAGTGGTAGTGTCAGTGTTTGTGAAGATGCTTGTAGTGTCATGTGTTTGTTCAGTTTGTCACTGAAGGCATTGAGCGTTTTAGCTTCAATAACATGTTGGGGTAGCCTGTTCCAGTCGCATATGGTACATGGGAAGAAGGATCTCCATAAGGTTGTTTGTGCTCTTGTACATGATTGTAAGTCTGCTTGTCTCTGTGTCTCGAGTAGGTCCATGTTAATCTCTTTTTTTTATGCAAGGTCTAATACCAGGTATATGTGTGTAATTGTGTCTAGTAAACTTGAAAGCCTTTGTATTGACCTGTTCGAACTTATTAATGTTGTGCTTAGTATAAGGGTCCCCCACAACCATACACGTATTCAAGTGTTGGGCATACACTTGAGGCGAGTGATTGAGTGAAAATGGATTGAATTGAAGGATAGGAGCAAGGACAGCACAGGACTTGAGGATTAAGACAGGGATTTGGTCTGGTTCAGTTGCTTTGTTAGTGTCTAGTTTAGTCAGTAGCTTCAGTATGCCATTAGTCGAGATGTCATGCAGCAAAGTGGGGGATAAGGGCTATCTGTTATGTTGGGTGTATTGTCGTCTTCATGTGTGAAAAAAGACTGGAAGTAAGTGTTGAGTAGGTGTGTTTTGTGTTCTGGGTAAATCACAAGAGTGTTGTAGGAGTCTTTTATGGCTTTGATCGCTATAGTGTCATGTCTGCTCTTGAAGAATTTGAAGAAATGTTTGAAGAGATGTTTGCAAGGCAGGTGGAAATGTGTTCATGTTCTGCTTTCTTTATGTTTTTGGAAACTATTTTTTGATAGGATTTCAAAGCAGCCAAATTTACTGGAGAGGTGTATGTTTGCAAGTGTCTGTAGAGTTTGTGTTTTTTACAATACTGTCTGTGTAGGTCCCTGGAGAACCAAGAAAGTGTATGTCTACTTGAAGGTGTTTTCTGGGATATGTGTGTTTATCCATGGAGTTTAAGGTTCTCCCAACTAGAAGTCTCGTGTGAAGATCTGTAAAAGAGTAGTCCATGCTAAAGTTGATGTCCTGTGGGTCTATGTCAGCTCTGGAAAAGAGGAAAATTGGTCTGTCTCTGATTTTGTCATGACAATGTCATGGTCACTTAGTCCCGGTATAACCTTGGTACTTGTTATGTCCAGAACATTGTTTGTGAAAAATAGATCAAGAATGTGTGAAGTGGTGCGAGGGTCACTGACACCACCAGGACGTGACATGTTTTGTATTCGCATTGGAGTGAGTACTGTTTATGAGAGTGAGTGAGTATTTATGAAAGAGTCCTGTAGTTGGTGTCTGTCTGTGTGCGGAATAATGAGAACCACAAGGTCAGTGTGTGGGTGGTTATGAGGGGACAGAACAGTCCAGTGTATGTTGAGGAGGTTCAAATCGCCTATGATCCATATTTTTTTGTCTACGTTTGTGTGTGATAAAGATGTTTCAAGATTTTGTAGGCATTCTGTGTTAGAAGAAGGTAGTCTGTAGAAGACAGCAAGGAGTGACTTACAGGTAGGGAGTTGGAGTTGGATCCAGGCAATTTCACAGACTGTGTCAAGGTCCAGTCTTGGTTTATTAATGACTTCTGGCTTGGTGGCGATGAGGACACTGCCACCTCTGCCAGTGTCAGTCGAGCAGTCATGCTTAGGGGAGGGGGGAGTAATCATGTCTCCATGCCTTTTATGATGTCTGGTTGGTATGATTGGATGATTTGGTGAAGCTGGGCTATTTTGTTTGTAATGCTTCTGAAGCTGATGTTTAGCAGGTGGAGGGTAGTTTGGTTATTGCGAGACAGTGATCTAAGGGAGGGGGGTAGTGGAGGATGGGAAGTATGGAGGGGAGGAGTTGGGAGAGGAAAAGGGAGAAGAGGGGAGAGGGGAGAAGAAGGAAGGGGAAAGGGAGGAAGAGGAGGGACAAGGAGAAGAGGAGGAGGGGCAAGGAGAAGAGGAGGAGGGGCAAGGAGAAGAGGAGGAGGGGCAAGGAGAAGAGGAGGAGGGGAAGGAGAGAGGAGGAGGGGGAAGGAGAGGAGAGGAGGAGAAGGGAAGGGGAAGGAGAAGAGGAGGAGGGGGAAGGAGAGAGGAGAGGAGGGAGAAGGAAAGTAAGAGGAGGGCAAGGGAGGAGGAAGAGGGGAAGGGAAGGAGGAGGGGAAAATAGGTGAAGAAGAAGAGGGGGAAGGGAAGGGGTATGGGTTGTGATGGCAGGAATGAGGAGTGGGGAAAGGAAGGAAGAGGGAGGAAAGGGGAAGGGTAGGGAAAGGCCAAAGTTGGAAGATGAGTGTTAGATGAGTGAGGGGACCAGGAGTCAATGGAAGGCCTGGAACAGTGGGTTATGGAGCTCAGTGATATGGATGAAAGTCTGGTGTGAGGATATACTGGGGTTGAATGCTTTATTTTATGTTGATGTAGGTAGTGGGTGTATGATATGTGGACTGAGTTTGGAGGAAGAACATGTTGTAAGGCAGTGCTGCTTATGTCGTGTGAATGGAGTATGTTGTGGGAGTTGGAGAATGTGATGGGAAAAGATGTGAAAAACTAGTTCAAGAAGTTGGGGAGGCCACATCCGTCACTGATCCAAACAACACTATTAATAACTAATTCAGTGCATAACCATGTGAAGGAGCCAATGCAGCTGATATGGTACCAGCCAGCATGCTTGGATCTCTCACAACAGTTATTGCACTGCATGGCCCTCTGGCCCCAATTATCCTGCAAATTATGCATGGGTACTTGAGGCGGTAAGGGCCAGGGTTAATATTAGCACCGGCATCACCACAAAGGAGCAGCAGAAGAAAGATGGTATGCCAGGAGTGTTTATTTGTCTTGTTCAATGTGTATTGGGGTACCATAGGGCTGCAAGGGAGTGGAGCGGGTCAGTGCTTGTTTGTGATGTGCGAGTGCTGTGTTGTTGATTCGTGGATGGCTGTGTATGTTTAAGGATTCATGCATGAAGTGAGAGTAAAGATGAGTGTTGATATAAGTGCAAGAAAGGTAATGTGTATGTGGCATTTATTATTGTTTTCTCTTACCTTTCTTGAATGTGAGGTGTTTACACGTTGTCTTGCTCTTGGCCTAGAGTGAACTGTCATAATAACTCACAAACATGACTGAAAAATTATGTGAAAGAAAAAAAATCTCAGAACATTTTATGTACCAAATATACTCACATAATTTTTGGTGCAACAAAGACTGGTGGCCTTTCTTCTGCTGTTGTTGAGGTCGCTGTTGCTTTTGTGTGTGCTTTGGTTCAGGGGGCTTGAGCTGACCCTTTGTGTCTGTGGATCCTCCTGATTTCGGAGTCAAACCTGGAATAAATATCTGCTAAGTACCTGTTTACAATAAATATGACATCTAGTTTACATCATAAAATGTAAATGTAAAATATGAACAACCTAGTATGCTGATGATGAAGGAAGACATATAGGCTACACATTACTGATAAATAAAGTCTTAAGGAAATATCATACAGAAAAGAAGAAAAAATCATATGATGGTGAACATGTGATAATAGAGATAATATGAGGAGAACATTCAAATGTCAATTAACATAAATTTTGGCTATTTAAAAAAGCCATTGTTATGCAGATATTTTAACATCATGATGCTACAATAGAAACAAATTCACAGAATTACTTGTAAAAGATCTTCAATGTTGTTCAAAGCTCTAATGGAGTAAACATTATAATAAATTAACTTTTTCTTTATATAACTACTAGCTCTTCTTAAAAAGCCATTTTTCTTTTACTTTTTTTCTGTTGTCCTTGTGTCTCTATGTATACATTTGCAACTAAATTAATTCATTCTTTTTATTTATGAATAGAACATTTTAGTCCCATTGGGTACTGCACTCAACTTGAATGCAAATTAGGCTACTATTAGAAAATAAAGATAATGATAAAATTTGATATGTGAATAAAATATGGACAATGTTATCAAATTATAATAAATACACAGACTATGGTAAAATGATTATTCTTCTATAAAAAAAAAAAAACACAAGAAAGAATTCCGAATATGAATTTCCGATATCCTCCTTTACACTCCTTTGAATATGCAAGTCATTGGATGAACAGGAAAACAATACTATGCTGCTAAAATTTCAGGAAACCTACTAAACATAAAAGAATTTTATTTACCTCAATGCCAATGGCAAAATGTTACATTCTCTTTAGTATTGTTTTGTTAAATGTTTCTGTACATATATGGCTCTGCCAGTGTTTAGCCACAAAGGAGTCAATTAGTAGATCTTGTGACCTCACCTTTCCTTGAAAGAGCAGGAAAACTCTTTTTTTTTTTTTTTACTAATGCTATTAATATCGACAGTTATTTTGTTTTGAACATCATAATTACTATATTGTTATTGACATTAATAACAGCATTATTAAATACTAGAAAACATTATCGAAAATCATGGAAAAGGGTAAACAGGTGAATCAGGTAGTTCTCGTACTTGGCTCATCGGTGACTTAGTACTTGTTCAGCCATCAATTACAATTACTAAATTAAACACACAGTGGGCATGGCATGTATGCACATGCCATCCCTAGCAGCAAGTGATTAAAGATTACATATAGAGAGCTTAAGAAATGTGTTTCATCATTCAATACTCATTTTGGATACAGACCTTTAGAAATGTGTTTCATCATTCTTATACCAGGAAAATGGGTGGTTTGAATAAAAATTAATATTACCTTTGTGTCCTCTTGCCGTTGCCGCACAAAATTCCTCCTCCTCTTCTGATTCTGAGGCTTCTCCACATACAATGATGCCTTGTACACCACTCATTTCTGAAAAATTAGTATACAAGTTGATTACCTATGTAGTGAAGTACACCTCTTTTTTTTAGTATCTGGAATTGACTCTTTATTTGCTCCTGCATTTATAAATGGTAATTATATTTTGAAGAAGAGATGTTAAAACTATTACACTCTTTTTATATTAACACCAATCATTTGTTCTACATAAGTATTGATAATTTACTCATGTATTACTTTGATTAAGAATTGAGCCTTAGACAGCCAAGCATCTCAATGGTTGTTTATTTAATTACTATATTAACTAACCTTTTACAGCATTTCTTCACAACTAAATTACAGTACACAAACATTGAAAGAGAAACAAGCTGGCAAGCCATATGTTGGACAATTTGTATCCAATTTACAAAGCATTATTTTTAGATGAACTATTTGTCCCCTGCAACAAATGCAGAAAAAGATATAAATGAAAAGAAAATTTCCACAGTGCAAGAGATATATTTGATTGGGTTTGATGAAATCTTCATCAGAAATGCATCAAACTCAATCACATACCTTTCTTTCATTGTGAAAATTTTCCTTCTCACTTATACCTTTACTACATTATTAGAGACATAAGTGACAATAATTAACTATCATTAAATCATAAACTCTCTAGGAAAATGATAATGTCAAACTAGCTTCAAGAAACTTTCTTAACAAAAGATACACAATCCTACTACTAAGAAATATAATGGTAATAGACTGGGTATAGTTTCAGTTTCTCACAGCCATATGGTGTAAGGAAAACTTTGCCTACAATGGATAGAATGACAGTAAAGTCAATCTTTATCTATGGCGTTTCCTTCACAAGTTGACATAAAGAAAGTTATGCAAGACATTACACTTTGGCAAACATTCACACAAAAAAATCTATTGACATTCACAAAGGGAAAAACTATGCATGCTGATGTATGAAATAATTTATGTAGGGAAAGAGTAATGTCAAAAATGAAGAAAATAAATTGCATCAATTGGCATGCGATGAATAAGTCCATGTTGAACAGGTGGAGGTCCAGGTATGGAGCCTCTATTAGGGAAATGAAGTAAATAATTTACTCTTTCACTTATGCCATTTGTAATGAAAATTACCTAGATTCACGCATATTACATGATGAATAATTGAAACAAGTAATAATATTTGGAAGGTAGGATGGCTATGAGAAACTAATAAATTAATTACTTCTTAAGATATACTGTTCATTTTGAGTAGATTTGTTCAGAGCCGACCAGTTCCAGTGACAATAATGATCAAAACAACTTTCAAGGTTAATAGGAAAAGAAAAATCAACAGAGCATGCAATTCGTTAGACCTCTGAATATCTACAAACCTTTTAAATTCTTAAATATCAACTCTCTGATTAGTCTGTTCTTTTACAGCCCGAATGAAAAGAATTATCTATGCAATTCCCTCACCTCTGCAATGTAAGTACTGGTACCTGATTGGAGTGGGAGTGATCAGCTGACTCGAGTGTAAACAAACCTCGCTGTGTTCGGATGGGTGCAACTGCGGTACAGTATCAGCTGTAACGGGATCAACAAAGCTTTGGAATTGTAGTTAGATATACATGTTTATACTCACTCCCTTACATGTAAAAACACACATACATGCATACTAACAAACACACACATATCTATCTATCCATCTATTTATCTATCTACCTATCTATCTCTGTCTATCTATTTATCTATATATATATATATATATATATATATATATATATATATATATATATATATATATATATATATATATATAAATATATATACATATATATATACATACATATATATATATATATATATATATATATATATATATATATATATATATATATATATATATATACATATATATACATATATATATATATATATATGTGTGTGTGTGTGTGTTGTGTGTGTGTGTGTGTGTGTGTGTGTGTGTGTGTGTGTGTGTGTGTGTGTGTGTGTGTGTGTGTGTGTGTGTGTGTATATATATATATATATTATATATATATATATATATATATATATTGTGTGGTGTGTGTGTGTGTGTGCATACACACACACATACACACACACACACACACACACACACACACACACACACACACACACACACACACACACACACACACACACACACACACAATATATATATATATATATATATATATATATATATACATATATATATATTATAATATAATATAACATAATATAATATACATATACATATATGTATGTATGTGTGTGTGTGTGCATGTGCACACACACACAAATACACAGATATATACTCACTCTATATACATATAGAGTGAGTATTCATTTACACACGCACATATCTGTTGTATTTATGAGTGTCACACACACACACTGAACACACGCACACGCACACGCACACGTACACACACACACACACACACACACACACACACACACACACACACACACACAGACACATTAATATATATATATATATATATATATATATATATATATATATGTATATATATATGTATATATATAATATATATATATATATATAATATAATGTATGAGTATTGAGAGTCTGTAAGCGTAGTAAGGTATTAGTTGTGTATTTTTGGATGTAGCGTTTGCCAGTGTGTATTAAGTCTATTGCTTGTGCGTGTATGAGTAAGTCTTGATTCAATTGTCTTGGAATTTGTCTTCAGTTGTTAATCTGTGTGCTCGTCTACGCATAGTGAGGGGGGTCGTGTGTAATTGTTGTTTTATTTGTGTTGTGATGCCAGGAGTTTTTTATTAGTGTAGTTGTTCGCAATGAACCTGGCTGCTGCGGTATAATTTTTTGTCCAGTTTGTTAATGTTTTTGTGTGTGCGGGTCCCACACTTGCACAATCCTTCAGCGTTGGACAGACAAGAGTGTTGTAAGCTATATGTTCAGTGTCCTCAAGAAACCCAGTTTTATGTCAGCATTATATTGTATTGTAATTGCGTGCTGATTACGTTCGGAAATTTAATGGGTGATTGGGGCCGATTTATGGTTTTGCATTTATCAGGTCGAAAATTAATTTTCCATGTGGCTTCCCATTGCACAAGGGAGTCAAGGTCAGTCCAGAGAAGTCTGCAGTCGTCAAGAGTCATGACTGGTCGATGGATAAAGGTGTTGCCAGCAGACAGTCTAGTTGTAGAATTAAGGGTGGATAATGGGAGATCATTTATATACAGTAAGAATATTCGTGGGTCTAAGACGGTGCCATGGGGGACACCAGAAGAGACAGAGTTAGAAACAGTACCGTTAAGAAGAAAGCGTTGGGTCCTGTTAGAAAGAAAAACTTTAATTCGGTGAAGAGGTGTCCAGTCTTTTGGGGGAGACTTTGTCGGAGGTTTTGGCGAAGTCTAACACTATTGCGTCGACCTATTTAACGTCGCGTTTGTCCAAGAGTCTAGAAATGTCGCGATGAGTAACAATGAGTTGGGAATCGCATGATCGTTTGGGTCGGAATCCGTGTTGTGTGTCGATTAATATGTTGTTTGTGTCAAGATGATTTATTACGTGTTTGTGTATGACATGTTCGAAGATTTTGGAGATGATAGAGGTGAGAGAGGGGCGACAAATTGGGTAGGTCAGTCCGGTCACATGTCTTGAAAATAGGTGTGACGTTTGCACAAAGATGGGAGAGAGGTGTTCTGAAGGATTGTGTAAATATGGTTTGGAGGATGGGGGCACAGATTCTAAGGAAGAAGGGAGTGATTTTGTCGGGATCAGTTAATTTATTTATGTCCATTGACTCAAGAAGTTTCTGTCCGAATATCAACAGTCGGGATGGGTGGGTGGCAGCTGTTTGGCATGTTCGGTGTAATAGGGTTTTCTTGCGTGAAGACAGAGTGGAACTTTGTCTTTGAGTAGGTGTGCTTTGTATTCTGGCGTGGTGACAAGAGTATCATTGAGGTCTTTAAGTACATCTATATACGCAGTGTCCTGTCTGCGCGTCTTGACCTTAAATAAGTGTCTAAGGTTGTTTCTTACGTTGCCTGTGAGATATTTATTGATGTGTTCGCGTCCGACTTTATGTTTATGGCGAATGTTTTTTGGAAGAGTTTGAAAGCGGCCCTCCGACTTTATGTTTATGGCGAATGTTTTTTGGAAGAGTTTAAAAGCGGCCCAATTCTTTGATGTGCTGCATGATTGCACACGTCTGTTGTCTCTGTTTTCTTCGTAGGTCCTTGTTGAACCAGGGGAGCGTATACCTACTAGGTGTTTTTTTGTGGTATGTGATTGTTGATGGATGTGTCTATAGAATGTTTCAGGCTATTTCAGTTATCGTTAAGGGGTCGGAAGGGGTCAGAGGATAGAAAGATGTCATGTCCCGTATGGCCGAGTCTGTGTCCGCTCTAGAGAAAAGCAAGATAGGTCCTCGTCTGCGATTCTGTCAAGTCGGTAGGAACTTTGCGTCAACAGGAACGATGTCGTGGTCACCTGGTACTGGAATCACTTCGGTGTTTGTCATGTGGAATGTGTTGCTTGTGAGGAAGAGGTCTAGCGTGTGAGCAGTGGTTAAGGGCCTCCGTCGCCAGCGGGGCGTGTGCTGCTTTGTGTTCGCGTTGGTTTGAGCACACACACACACACAGTATGTGTATATATATATACGTTTATGTGTAAATACATACATTTATATCTATATATACATATACACAATTATATTCATGTAATACACATGCATAAATATATATACGTATATGTATATACATGATACATATATACACATATGTATTATATATACATATATATTACATATATGTATATATATGTATGTATATATATATGTATATATATAATTATATATATATATATTATATAAATGTGTGTGTGTGTGTGTAATAGAAAATATATATACATGTAATGTATATGTATATATATATGTATGTATACATACGTGTATGTATAATGTATATATATATGTATATAATATATATGTACATATATATAATGTATATACACCACACATATATGATTATATACATAATATATATGAATATGTGTATATATATGCAAACATAAATAGATACATATATGTGTGTGTATATGTATGTGTGTATATATAATATATATATATATATATTATATATATATATATATATATGTATATAACACATTTTAATGTCTCTCTCTCTCTCGTCTCTCTCTCTCTCCTCTCTCTCTAAGAGATTGTATTCTTCGACTATAAATTTAATATATGTATTATATATAGCTGTATATGCATGATATATATCGAGTGTAGCTATATATAGGTATAATAATGTATGTATGTATATGACTATATGTATATATATACATATATGAATATATATAATATATATATATATATATTTATATATATATATAATATATATATATAGTATATACACAGGACTCACCTATATATATATATATACTACATATATATATATATTTATATATAAAAGGACATTTATTTATAGAACAGATCACATCATGTGCACAGGTCATATCGCCCTGTATCCAACACTTAGGCACAAGCGATTCCCGCAATAATTCACACCGTAACTTCTCTCTTTGGTCACCTCTTAAAGGAGAACCACGGTGATTCACAAGGAGGAGAGGCAGGGCAGTGCACAGCTCCCACTTGTGTCTACCGTTTAACTGGAGACTCCCCTGTCTGCTCGGCCGCCCATGTGTCTCATAGTCACACGTCGATGCCTCCCCGCGCCCGCCTTCGGAAACGGAGACTCATGTTCCGTCTTGAAATGATGTCACACACAGGAACACACACACACACACACGCATATATATATATATATATATATATATATATATATATATATATATATATATATATACATATATATATATACACATACATAATATGCATATGTATGTATATATGTATATATGCATGCATATACGTAATTATAATATATATATACATATATATATATATATACTATATATATGTATATATATATATATATATATATATACATATATATTTATAGTATTATAGCACAGACACACACTCACACACTCACACACACCACACACCACACACACACACACACACACACACAACACATTATCTATCTATCTATCTATCTATATATATATATATATATATATATATATATATATATATATATAACACGCACACACGTGTGTTTTGTGTGTTTGTATGTATGTATGTGTATATATATATATATATATACATGCAAACACGTATATGTGTATATATGTGTATGTATATATATATATATATTTATTTATTTATTTATTTATATATTTATATACGGGTTGATATTTCAAAATCCGGCCATCGATAATCCGGTTACAGTTAGAATTCCGGCGGTTATTTCCAGAATCAGCTGTTGGGTCTTGTTTGCATATCCTAACAGGCATTCCTGCTCATTCCTTCTCACTTATTATGTTTTTGCTGTTGTATAGACTCATGATGGATTCAGCAAAGAAAATGGGTGGTGTTTAACATAAAGATCGTGCGCTGTCGATTGCAGATAGTGGAAATGTTATATAATGAT